ATGTTATTCAGGTCATCACGTAGGGCCTCAGAATCAGTGATCAGTACTTTCGTGGAAAGTAACGCAGTTGCTTGCAAAAAAAGTTAGGTCAGCTTTGCAATGGTGTTTCCTAGCCTGAAGGTACTATAGAGATACCAATCGAGCTTTGGAAAGTGAAGTTGGGCCTAGGAAAGCCGATTTGAGGCACCCTCTCTCCATTATTCGCTGTATTTTTACTTCTCCCCCTTACCTTTTCTATCTATCTATCTATCTATCTATCTATCTATCTATCTATCTATCTATCTATCTATCTATCTATCTATCTATCTATCTATCTATCTATCTATCTATCTATCTATCTATCTATCTATCTATCTATCTATCTATCTATCTATCTATCTATCTATCTATCTATCTATCTATCTATCTATCTATCTATCTATCTATCTATCTATCTATCTATCTATCTATCTATCTATCTATCTATCTATCTATCTATCTATCTATCTATCTATCTATCTATCTATCTATCTATCTATCTATCTATCTATCTATCTATCTATCTATCTATCTATCTATCTATCTATCTATCTATCTATCTATCTATCTATCTTTGCCCATAATGCAATGCATATAAAACAGTGCTGGCTGCCTGAGAGTAAATACCAAGCGACCAGGCACCTCTATACACGTGCACGTCCTCTGTCATTGGAAAGAAATGCACTGTCATTTCGCAGCCACGTCAAAGAGTTTTTCGTTCTTGTATGTATACACGTTATTTTGCTTCTACCTGAAACACACGACATGCTTCCTCTGTAGTTTGTAATTATTTGGAAATTATGCTGCGCTGTACAAATAAGGAATGACCATGAGTCTTCCTAATTCGTGCTTCGCGTATGATCGATTCCCACTGTACGTGGGATCTGCCATTTTTTTTTGCTTCTTTCTCTTCCTCTTTATTATCTTCTTATTTTCTTGTCCGTTGCAACGCAATAACGTGGTTCCCATAAACGCTTACTCTGCTAGCGTGCTTAGACGATAGCCGAGTGGTTACAAGCTCACCTTCGGACCGTGGGTAGTCAGGTTGGAAACCCGCTTCACCAAGAAGTCTTATTTAGTTCCTCTCTCTCTCTCTCTCTCTCTCTCTCTCTCTCTCTCTCTCTCTCTCTCTCTCTGTGTGTGTGTGTGTGTGTGTGCGTGCGTTTGTTTTTATCTCTATCCGTTCCCTCACCCGTGTGGTTCCCATGAATGCTTGTTCTTGATAGCGCGCCTGGATAGCCGAGTTGTCGTGGCGCTTGTTTTCAGACAGTGAGTACTCGATTTCAAATGTCGGCTGGTTTCATTTCTTCTGCTCTTCTCCGCTTCCTTTATTCCATTCAACGCGTTGTTAGGTGACTCATGGTGACGTCATCGCTCGATGGTTTTTGCGAACCCGGCCGGACCAAGCTCGAGATTAAACAGCTTCGCTGTTAAAAGGTGCATAATCAAGTTATACCGTAGGGCAAATTGTTGGTATAATTTCAACAAAAGTAGAGAATTCAGAAAATAACCGTGTGGTATACCAGAACGTTCAGGTATTTAGAAGAGTCAATATTGTCAGGGGACACAAACTGCGTGCGGTTAGAAGCTCTTTTATTGAATTAAACAATGCTGAGTAGTAGTGGTTAACCTTGTGAAATTCTTTCGCGCAATCTAAAAAATTATAACTAGTGATATAACTATGTTCATAGCAGCGAGAAAAATCTCTTGGAAGTATGATTGTAGTTGGGAATCGAATGCAAAAAAATACGAAAGCCGTGCTGATAGTTTTGACAGAACTTGTTTCTTTTATTGCGAATGTTTAAAAATGTAAGTGTATATTGTGTGATTTATATATTTGCAACTTTTAGGCAGACCAACGTTCAGTGGCTCCCAAACTGTGAAATAAAATGCCCGCGACTTTTATTTGGATAGTAGTTTAAATACCTAGAACTCCAAGAGGTGCTTGAATGTTTATAATTCTTTATAATGCAACATACTGATTCATTAGTTCTCCTGCCTTTGTTTTGAATGACTGCTAGAGTATTTCAACATGTCTATGTGCACAATATAAAAGGAATTTATCGAGAAAAGCGCAGCTAGCAGTATATATAGTATTGAAGTCGGCTCGCTTTATAGAAATGACATATTCGTTTTGGCCGTTTACGGGTGCAAGGTGTGGAAAAAGATACTGTAAAAAAAATGAGCACGTCCTGATCACTTCAGCCGGGTGAATTCGCTACAGAGGAAGTGAACACGTGAACGGAAATCGCTCTCAGTAGGTTCATTGTACTGCAGTTTCACTGTAGATACGAGAAGCCGTTGAACAGAGAATGTCTCTGAAGCCAGCGTTTAGAAAATAGCGATTGTTTATGATATCGAGCTTCCAGCTTGCCCTGAACATTTGCCTCGTTAGTAGTTTACTGCAGATGACATTTGCGTCCAGTTAGGGGATAGCGCAGTGTCCTACTTCTTTTTGCATGGTTGATTGTGAAAACCAGCAGTGATAGTCTTTCCAAAAAAAGTAAATGACAGCGTGGAGCCTTGTAGGGTGATTACGTTGATTAATGCCAAAAATGAATGGTCTGCTCTTAATTGGGACGATGACTGTGTTGTTGTAGTTGTTATTTGTAAATAATTCTTCACAAGTGAACAGCAATCGTGACCCGAAGTCTACTTAATAATTCTATGTGGGGATCACCCACTGAAAAGGAACCGTATATGACTTACTGATGAGTGGCCTGGGTGCACCAGTAGGCACCATATACATGCACGAATATTACTCGTGACTGGTTGCGTAGTGGTACCATTCTTTCTTGATACGTTGGGCGGTATACGCACGGCATATTTCATGGTCTCTGTAAAATTGTCGCCCCACCGCGGTGGTCGATTACCAAAGTACTCGGCTGCTGACCCACAGGTCGCGGGTTCAAATCCCGGCTGCGGCGGCTGCATTTCCGATGGAGGCGGAAATGTTGTAGGCCCGTTTACTCAGATTTGGGTGCACGTTACAGATCCCCAGGTGGTCGAAATTTCCGGAGCCCTCCACTACGGCGTCTCTCATAATCATATGGTAGTTTTGGGACGTTAAACCCCACAAATCAATCAATCAATCTGTAAAATTGTTCTATTAATGCGAATGTAACATTTTCTGCTCACTATAATCTATCCCGTATTCACAAAGCTAAAATTCGCTCGCCATACCGCGTTGCTATATTGCGTCAGTTATGCAAACAAGCGGCAGTCCTTTTTTTTTTTGTCACATAATGCATTGCTTGCTGCTTTCTGATTTCATTCGATCAAAGTGAAATAAATAAATTTTATGATTTAGAGTCTAAATTTGACCTTTTGTTCGCCACGTTGAGATGGCACCGAGAAAAGGCAGCACGTACCGCTTTAAAAAACACACCCTGTACGCTCTGCTTGCAAGAGATGGGTTGTGCGGACCTTCGGCTTGCTTCCGACGAAAAATGTAGAACTGCATAATTTCACGAAAACGCATGAGAAACTTACGATCACTTACTTCACCAGATGATTCTAAAAACTTAATTGTTGCTCGAAAAAGTGTTTCCCGTCATTGCACATACAACAAATGCACAACATAAGTATATACGAAAACCTGAAGGCTCAAATTTTCTGCACTGACGTGTCGAAACCACGAAGTGAATATGAGGCAGGCCGCTGCGGGAGGCTTCGCATTCTTTTTGACTGCATAGACTTCTTTAACGTGCACGTGAATCTAAGAAAGCTGTGTTTTTGTATTTCGCAATTAATCGCGGTCTCTGTGACCAAAGGTACTACTCGCGCTTTCGTTCTAAACAGCGCAACAATTTAGACACTAAACTACTATGAAAAGCAGGTACCAATTGTGAGCCGCCTAAGTTAAGAACAAAAAAGCAAATATTAAAATGACACAAAGATGCCCGAATATCGGTTTACTCTTTCATCTATGCTTGTAAACCATCGTTTCATAAATGTTCGCTGTTAGACAGGAACGGGTATAAACATACGTGGGCTTTGTTGAAAGTGATAACTTCGACGCAAGAGGGTGTGAGCTATCGCTGTGCCGGCGCTCCGTCTGTAACATTGAATATACCAGATGTGAAGCCATTTACCTTGACTCCGCAGGGCTACACGTAAGGTCACATGCCTCGTCTTGTTTTGTTCTGGACGCTCGCTATAAGTATGGTGGAGCTTATACATAGGTAGTATGTCATTTCGAAAACAATTGATTTTTAAAGTTGATGCATACCCGATGCCGTTTTTTTTTTACATTCGTTTTATTTATGCACAATGATCCCAGGTCAGGTTCTAGCAAGGCCTGGTTGCAAACACATGGCCCGTCGCGTAACAAGCATCAACCACTGCGTACAATTTTTCTGTTTCTGCAGTGAAGGACTTTCTTAGCGTTTTCCGGGGAGGTCCAGTTTCCAGAAGTTCTGTATGTGGTACTGGTGTTACTCCCAGTGTCGTGTGGAAGCACTGGCAAACAATATCTTTATTATCTCAAGTGGAGAGAATGTATACTCTAAAGTGTTCTTCTAAAGTTGATTAGGGCCCCTCAAATAAAAATCCAGGGATCAGGAGCTCGCATTGAGCATGAGGCAGTTGATGCAAAGAAGCTCAAGGGTCAGTGAAATTGCGATGCTTTCATGCAAGTCAGCGCTTTTCCTAGGCCACCGTATAGCATTCGATGTACATTGCTTGTACACAATCTTTGCGCTGACAAAAAGTATCGCCTCTCGTGCAGCGATACCTTCTTGCATGGATTGTCAATACTGATGTGTCAATACTGAAGAGTACTAAGGGTAAAGCTTTGAAGATATGATTGAGCTTTAGTTATTTCGCAGCAACAAAAATTAATGCGAACAATGCTCCCGTGTTTTTCTCAATCTCACCAGAGTTTTGGTTACGCTGTTTTTGTGTTTCACAGATGTGAATGTATGCACTTGCGCACATCTAACGAACGTCTCCTTACTCGCAATCTTTTTTGTCATATGCAGTTAGGCTATGCCAAGGCCGGCCAGTCTTCAGCCGGCATCCACTTCCGTGTGTACAGCAGGGCGTTCATCATAAAGCAAGGTGATTCCAGGGTGGTCATCGTCAATGTAGACTCCGCCATGATTGGTGACATCGTAAAAATTGAGGTGAGTTCACTGTTACTCACGTTTAATACATTTTATTTCGTGAGCTCCGAAACTGTCACTGCATTTCACTAATGTTATTACACTGCCTTGCTAGAATGCATTGCATACCTGCAGAAACCCTGGTCTTTTGCGTGTTGCTGTCACGCTTAACATTGGAGATGCAACAGATCTCTTAGCCACGCGACCTACACACCTAAATTCATCGAAAAAAATACAGTGTACAGTCGAGTGGTTGCAGCTGAATTCAGCCGTACGCACGAAACCCAAGGACAATGCTGACTCTTTACTTCGTGCGTACGTTTAAATTTAGCTGCAACCCCTCGACAAGCAGGATCAGCAACTAGTCCATGCAGAGGCAAACCATTCGAATGTAAAGTGTCCACAGAAGCACAGAGAACCGTTGTGGCCAATAGTCGCCTGTGATTGTCGTTTTCTGCGGTGACCGTACACGCGCACATGAAAAAAAAAAGATCCTACGAGAAAGATTTATAAACGTGAGTGGCAAGTAGCTCTGTTTACTCTTGCATACGCTGACGTAAAAGTAACAAGCGTGAAAGTAATGCTGGGTAACCACGTCTCAGCCTTGTTCTGAGGTTAAAAAAAGGAACAGAAAAAGAAAAAGAAATGAGGAAGGAAAAGATAGTTGTGGGAATGGCAAAAACAAGTCATCATACAGTATTTCAGGTGCTGTGTTTCACGTGGCATCATCTGTGTAGTTCCGAGACTGCGGTTGTAATGAAGGCGTAGTAGACCTTGCAAAAACTAGGCGCATGGCTTTGTCGGCAGCGTCTCTGATTGGTTGGTTAAATGAAACTGAGTGCATCAGAAGTGAGGTATGACACTATTGTAATTTAAAAGAACGAAAACCAAACGGAAGCACTGGAAAGAGCGTGCTTTAATTGGCTGCCTGCTTCAAGCCATTTGCTTGTGTCAGGCAAATACCTTTGATCGCGATCAGGGTCGATCCATACCTGTTACGGCGACACGCTTTTTTTCATCGCAATAAGGTTTGACTGGGATCAAAACGATCGCAATCTGCGTGACGTGATGTGGCTGTATATTCGCTATTTGACTGACGTCCAGGCCCAACTCAATCTGGAATATGCAGTACCGCGTAGCAGTGACAAAATTTGTTAGCGCAATCAAGAATTTGGATTTGGATTGGCCCTGATAGCTATAAAAAGTGCCCTTCTGATACTGGTATAGTTGCGCCGGAAGTCTTGCATCGAACCGTTAGCCCCATCAAAATCTGCAGCTTAGCTGAGTGACGGGATACTTATACCATGCGCAAGGGAAATATGCGAGGTCGTCTTCCCACGCTATACTAGCTCATAATGCAATGCCTATGAAACAGCGCTGGCTGCCTGAGAGCAAATACCAAGCGACCAGACACCTGTATACACGTGCACGTCTTCTGTCATTGGAAAGAAATGCACTGTCATTCCGCAGCCACGTCAAAGAGCTTTTCGTTCTTGTATGACATGTATACACGTTAATTCGATTCTACCGGAAACACACGTCAGGCGTCCTCTAGAGATTATGCTGCGCTGTACTAATAGGGAATGACCATGAGTGTTACTGCGCTGTTAAGAAGAAGATATTCAAGCGGTGCTACAGAATGGGCACGTCCTTTGCTATCGGGGCTTGGCTCACAGAAGAGAACTGGGAATGGGGCTCCTAATTCACAGAAACATAGCTGGCAACATCGAGGAATACTATATCATTGTTGAAAGGGTGGTAGGTATCGTAATTAAACTGAATAAAAGATACAAGATGAAGGTGGTACAGACTTACGCGCCCACATCCAGCCATGATGACGCTTCAGTTGAAAGCTTCTATGAAGACTTGGAATCGGCAATGGGTAAGGTAAAAACACAGTAAACTATACTAATGGGAGACTTTAATGCAGAGGTAGAGAAGAAGCAGGCTGGAGACAAGACAGTAGGAGATTATGGCATTGTTACTAGAAATGCCAGAGGAGAGCTACTAGAGCTACTAGCAGAATTCGCAGAACGCAATATTTACGGATTTCGAATACCTTCTATCGAAAACGAGGAAACCGTAAGTGAACATGGAGGAGCCCTAATGGTGAAAATAAGAACGAAATAGACTTTATAATGTGTGCACACCCAGGCATCGTCCAGGATGGGGAAGTGGTTGGCAAGGTACGATAGAATGACCATAGAATGGTACGGTCTCGAATTCGCCTATACTTGAAGAAGGAACGACAGAAACTAATACGAAAGAAGCCAATCAATGAGCTAGCACTGAGAGGTAAAGTACAGGAATTCAGAGTCTCGCTTCAGAACAGGTACTCGGCTCTTAGTGAGGAAAGCAACCTTAGCGTAGATACAGTGAATGATAGTCTGACGAGTATCATGACGGAGTGTGCAGTGGAAATTGGAGGCACGGTACTTAGACAGGACACTGGCAAGCTTTCCCAGGAAGCGAAAAATCTCATTAAGAAGCGTCAAAGCATGAAAGTCTCAAGTACGACAGACAAAATATAACTGGCAGAGCTTTCGAAGTTGATTAATAAGCATGAGGTATCCGATGTAAGAAAGTATAATATGGAGAGAATTGAACACGCTCTGAAAAATGGAGCAAGCGTCAAAGCAGTTACGAGAAGGCGTTTGATTCAGTAGAAATATCAGCAGTCATGCAGACACTGCGGAATCAGGGCGTTGATGAAGCATATATAAACATCCTGGAAGAAATCTACAGGGGATCAACTGCTACCATAGTACTAAATAAAGAAAGCAACAGACTACCAATCAAGAAGGGTGTAAGGCAGGGGGATACAATCTCCCCAATACTATTTACCGCGTGTTAACAGGAGGTTTTCAGAGGCCTAGCGTGGGAACAGTTAGGCATAAGAGTTAATGGAGAGTACCTTAGTAACCTGCGCTTCGGCGATGACATTGCATTGCTGAGTAACTCAGGGGATGAATTGCGATTCATGATTACGGAGTTAGACAAGGAGAGCAGAAAGGTGGGTCTTAAAATTAATGTGCAGAAAACGAAAGTAATGTACAACAACCTTGGTAGAGAGCAGCGTTTCGAGACAGGCAATAGTCCATTTCAAGTTGTAAAAGGCTATGTCTACTTAGGGCAGGTAAGAACCGTGGAGCCGAACCATGAGGTTGAAGTAACTAGAAGAATAAGAATGTGGTGGAGCACATTTGGCAAGCACTCTCAAATGATGACAAATAGATTACCACTATCCCTCATGAGGAAGGTATATAACAGCTGTATCTTGTGGATACCTAGCTATGGAGCAGAAACCTGGAGACTTACAAAGATGGTTCCGCTTAAATTGAGGATGACGCAGCAAGCAATGGAAAGAAATATGGTAGGTGTAACTTTAAGAGACAAGAAGAGAGCAGAGTGGATTGGGGAACAAACGGGGGTTAAGGATATCATAGTTGAAATCAAGAAGAGGAAATGTACATGGGCCGGTCATCTAGCGCTTAGACAAGATAACCGCTGGTTATTAACTAACTAACTGGATTCCCAGAGAAGGCAAGTGGGTTAGGGGGAGACGGAAGGTTAGGTGGGTAGATAAGATTAAGAAGTTTGTGGGTATAAATTGGCAGCAGCAAGCACAGGACCAAGTTCACTGGCGGAACATGGGAGAGGCCTTTGCCCTGCAGTCGACGTAGTCAGGCTGATGATGATGATGATGATGATGATGTTGTTGATGACGATGATGATTCAAATCCACGCACCCACCACAGGGCTCAACTAGATTAACATATACCAGCTTTGGTGTTACGGGACGTCAATGGATGACGAATGTATGTGACTGGTGCAAACATGATAATCATGGCATGCGTGTCGTGTAAGAATATGAATGCATACCACGCTCCTTATGTGCTCGTGGCCGCTTTACTAGCTTCACATATACCAAATTTGGTATTACGTGACGTGAATGTGTGACGAAGTAAAAGACACGTTCAAACATAATCATGACATGCATGTCATCTAAAAAATGACTACATATCGCGCTGATAGCGCGCTAGCGGCCGTTTCCCTTGCTTCACATATACCAAATTTGGTGTTACGTGACGTGAATGGACGACGAACACAAATGACAGGTGCAAGCATGATAATCAGCACATTGAAGTCATGTACGGCATAATATAGGTCCGCCTCGTAACGTCGGGCTAATTTTAAAGTGACATATCAACCTTCCTCATTCGTTCTTGGCATGTCATTGATTGGCACTATGCGTGAGATCCACCAATTTTTAGTCAGAGTTGTTTTTTTTTTCATCCAGTTATATAAACCGCACAATTTGAAGGGCCACCAATTACGTGGCGTTCAGGCACGCGTTTAACTTGAATTGTTCTTGATGTCTTTCAGGCTAGGCATACTCGTGCGGCTAAAAGCATTAATATTAAACTACCTCGCTCTAACTGCCACCACGAAGTCGTACAAGAGCACGACGTGGCTTTCTCAGCAGACTTCGTGCTTTATATGCCATAATTACGTGGCGTGACTGTTAAAGCTTTGTTGGCTGTGGGAAAACTGCAGGAAAACCACACTGCCTCGTTATGCAGTCTTTTCATTTGTTGTTTGGCTGGAATAAATCAAGACAGTTTTGTTCGTAAAGGGCACCGGAGCAGTTAATAATTATTAGCTGCTGATGGATTTTATTGTTCACATTGACGCTCATGAAATTAAGAGAGGTACTGTTCACATGTGCGTTTTCGATGGCGTAAACGTCTTGTTAATGTAGGTATCGTGAAAGATGATGTACTACTGCCCGCGAAGAAAGTGTAGAAAATTCTCTGTTTTCTCCCAGCCAATAACAGCTAATAGTCACTTAATAGAGGCTTTGTTTTGAAATCTGTGGCCATTTTGCTGTTGTACACCATGTTGTGTACTTTTGTTTGTACCGTAGATATTTAATATTTAGTAAACTGCAGCTCTACTTGGGTGGAAGGTAAGTCATATCTGGACGTACATTCTGGTGTTCTCAAAAATGTACAGAAATT